TTGGCAAGTAGCGTTAGACGCGTGTTCATTTATTGTCGCGAAGGTAACGACACGCTGTATAGCGATTGAAGATATAGCTTTTACCAAGCTTTAGAATATATCCGTATATTTTGTTTGATTTTCCTCCAGGCCGCAGATATTACATAGAAATCCTCAAAAATTCTCCTAAAAACCTCCTCTGACATGGTATGTCATAGTATCTTGCTTTTGCTTGTATTAGTTCATTTAAAACGGTGGGGATAGAAAAGGTAGAAAGATATTTTTTTAGTGTAATACTCTTAAAACCTAGCGTACGCGATCCCAGAATCGCAAACTATAATAGCGACGACCGGTTAGCAAACCGTCTGGGAGGGACTCTAATTTATTATAAACGGTTCTTGCTCTGCAGCCCACTCGACATTCCAGAACTAAGCCATATAGAGGCATCCGCGTGTAGGTTAGCGCTCACTGGCCATAGGCCGCTTGTACTAGTCTCAGCCTACCGCTCGGGGAACAAATCCTTATTACAAAGCGATCTTGAAACGCTACTCAATTTAGGCCCTTCCGTGATAATTGCAGGCAATCTAAACTGCAAACACGGCTCATGGGACATTCATAGTCTCCCTTAAATTTCCTCTTAAATTTTAGCCTAATCGCTCCTGCGACTCCCACCAGGTATGTACGGTGGACAATTACCAACACGCGACACCGAGTATCCTAGATATTAAGTTATTCAAGGAGGTCTCGCTCGACATGGAGTCGATAGAGACAATCCAAGAACTACATTCAGATCACAGGCCGGTCCTGTGTAAACTGGACCAGAAGGCTGGCGCGGTCCCTCCGACCAAATCCGTAGTGGACGGGCATCGTCTTGGGGTCAAACTCAAGGCCTTGGACCCCCAAGTCATAGTCGACCAACCCGAGACGATAGCTACGTTCGATGACGCAAATCGAGCGACAGCAAGTCTCCGAGAAAGTATCACTTCCGTAGTCGCAGATTCGAAACGGACGGTGAAACTGTCGGGCGACTGACGGTTTAACTTTCCGCCCGACCTGCAACTGCTAATTAGACAGAACCCCTACATCCAGCCATCACACACCGCCTACTGGCGGTTGGCCGGCAGTTTGAAAGCAGACTCCCGCGAATCTCTACCGCCGTTACAACCTAGAGAGGCTATGTACGCCATCGCGCAAACACACCGATACAGTCCACCTATTGGAGGTGGACCGCGTAATCGAAACTAGGGCTGTGCTTCCACCGGAAGGCGATCCTTTGAATTCGGTGACCCCCGAAGAGGTCCAAGACATTATTAAAAATTTAAAACCCAAATCCGCCCCGGGCCCAAGTAATCTTAGTAACAAAATTATTAAAGATCTCCCTGGGCCGCTTATCTGTTTACATCCGACCATTTTCAATACTTTACTCTCCAGTTGCTCCTTTCCGGACGACTGGAAAGAAGCCACGGTTATCGGCATTCGCAAGCCGAATAAACCAGCCAATCAGCCCTCAAGTTATCGTCCCATCAGCCTCCTCAATTGCCTGGAGAAGCTCTACAAGCGGCTATTATTAAACAGTACACGTATTTTCCACTCTCTCCACAAGCCGCCGCATCACGGCAGGCGTTCCACAAGGCTCCTGCCTCTCACCCTTACTCTTTACGCTCTACACGAGCGACATACCGAAAGACCCCCACGTCAATTTCGCGCTTTTCGCAGATGACACAGCGCAAATGGAGAATAGAAGTGAATCCCGAAAAGAGTGTGGCGATTCACTTCACACGAAGTACTTACCCGTCACATCTTTACAAGGCCCTCGCCAATGCAGAAAGTTGGGGCAAATATCCCTTTATGACCAACCGCTCCCCTGGGAGAAACAGGTCAAATACTTAGAAGTCACTTTCGACTCGCATATGTCATTTACTACGCACATTAATAATGTTCGTAATATAGCCGCGCTTGTCTACGGCCGGCTACACAATTTAACTAACGCTAAAAGTAAAATGCCTTAAGGCACAAATCTTATCCTTTAAACGAGCAATTCTTGTATATATAATCGGAATCTCGGAAACGGCTCCAGCGATTTTCATGAAATTTAATATGTGCGTAGATTCGGGGGCGAAAAATCGATATAGCTAGGTTTCATTTTTAAAAAATGTCCCTTTATCCCTGTTTTCAGGGAATGAAAAATATCATTCGAATATGACAGTAAATTTCGCCGCAAAAAAAATGTTATAATAGCTCGGTTATCGGACGGCCCCAAAACAGACGGCCGCGGTTCGTATCACGATCTTTTACATACTTATTTTTTTTTACTTTTTTTCTATACCAGATCATTTTCTTTATTTTTATTTCCATAATACATGATTTACCAAGGTCCTCCAGGTACTTATTATTATAAGAACTGCGTACGAACTATTACGTCTTACGCATTCATGACCTTCGCCCACACGCACCCTACTCGCTTGTATAAGTTGCAAATAGTACAAAATAAGCTCATCCGCCGCGCAATCGGTGCGAAGTGGTAACAACGCAACGTTGACCTGCACAGCGATTTCAAACTCTCGACGATTCGCGAATATTTTAAAGACATGACCAAACGGTTCTTTTTTTATGTGATAAAGTGGCAAACGAGCTGGCGGTTTAACTGATGTTAAGTAATAACCGCCGCCCATAGAAATTTGCAACACCGGCAGTGTTTCACACGTTGCCACATTCAACTAAAGCGGGCCCCGGCTACCTCACTCACCAGACGAAACGCAGAAGTATAACACTTTTACTTTACGCCGGTCTTCTGTGAGGTCTGACGGACCTGCCCATTGTGCAACAGTGAAAACTGTTGTGTGGCCCTACCACAGTTGGAGTTCGATAGAGCGCAACAAATTACCAACCCGACACAAACGCGAACGTCAACAAGCGTCGCCCACGAAACGTCCTCATCGACCCGTTCGAGGAAGGGGACTTAGATACGTTGGACCCACCGTCGGGGGTCCCGCCCGATAACACTACACCCACAGCTAGTGTAAAAACAAACACAATATTTTGTCCTCGCCTCCGAGCACGGCGAGACCAACACAACGCGTACACAAGGTACACCCGCGTTCCAGGGCGGTTCTCACCGCCCCTAGCCACCGATTACCTAAAAACACAGTCGACGGCCATCGGGGTCCTGGTCGAACCGCAACCTCGATGGCCCTTAGATGACATACCATAGTTAAACGCACGCATGAGGACATGCACGGCCCTACCGACAGCGGAGGGCCCAAACCCGTGGGTTCTTGCTAGCCTGCCGGTTCTACGTCAGATGAAGCTTTAATAGTCTCGGAACTGAAAGCAAAAACATCAGTTAATACAAGATACGAGAAAAGGCAGAGGTATTTATTCACCTGGGCAGAATTAAACTGATGTCAAATGTTACAATGTCTACGAGATGTGATTGAGTAGATGGTTCCTGTCTTTACGCTAGTTTTGATATTTATTTCAACACTTACAACTTTCTATACAGATTTTCCTAATACGATAGTGTAACTAAGACAAAATATGAAAGATAAGTTAAAATGATATAGTAAATAAACTGATGAGAAATTTTACAATCACTACGAGATGGGATAAGGTAGATTCCTCCTGTGAAACTAGTGTGGTACTAGTTTTGATTTGATATGTTCTACGTTACATGTTTAGAGTTATAATAAAAAAGAACAAATCCACAAGTACGAGATACCGCGAGTGACCCTTATAAGGAGGGGAGTGAATCATTTCCTGGTGTAAGACTGTCTCTGTGTTGATAAGCCGACTTCAACTAAATGAATGTTGGAAGAATGGCAAACAACTGATCCAGCTAGCGGCCAAATAAAGTTGGAACGCTGAGCAAGGATTTACATTAAAATCACAAAAATCTATTTCATAAGAAAGTTTCATTTTCTATTTGATTTTGGAGAGTTCCCTGATATATCTCCAGAGTACAAAGTTCGATACCAACGAAACTAATATGGGTCCACATGGGAGGAGACCAAATTGAAAAAAAAACAGTCAAGGGCAACTCGAACTCATAAGCCGAGGGTCCCGTACCTACTCATTATACCTCCATAATAAAATTGGTAATTGACCACTGAGTCAACACGGTAAAAAGATATAGGCAAATTTAGATAATCTCGAAAACTTGTAAGTAGCAAGATTTTCCTTATTTTTAATTTCTTTTATTTTTCAAAATTTTTCCTTTATTTTACATTGCTTTTTGCCAAATTTTGTGATTCTAGGTCGAATGGAACTACCATATATGTTTTCTACCCAAAACCTATAGAGCACTTCTCCTTTCCTGAGAAAATCCGCGGTGATACACGGACAGACAGCCGTCCCTTTTTTTACCTTTTACGGTACGAAACCCTAAAAATATTAAAATCGTAATAAATGACGGAGTTCTGAAGTAACAAACTTTAAAAAAATCAACCGAATTGAGAATCTACACCTTTTTTATATCAGTTGAATACAAAGATCTGCAACAATTAAAGTTCATTATGATCAGTTAATGACTATCACTAATTAAGAATGGACTCTTTTATAAAAAAAAATTTCTACGCCAAACAATACGAGCAAAGCAATTAAAAATAAACTTGAAGGTTATAAATAAAAAAGTATCAAAGAAACGCAATAACTTTAATTATTATTACATTACATGCAGAAATTATGGATTACTTTACAGAAGGGCGTTTAGTAATGCAAAAGTAGTAATATTTTTTTAGTTTATTTTGTTCTTATATTAAAATTATGTCCATTAAAAATAAAAAATAATCACAAATTTCAAAAGAAAAACGCAAATAAAATAGATAGATGTCGTTATTTTAGCGTCGTGAGAATGACGAGCCCTTAGCTCAGTTGGTTCGAATGTCTGGACGCGTTACATTGAAGAATCAAGTTCGCAGGCGTCGAAAAAATTTTCACCAATTATTCTTTTAATACTGTCAGTTTAAATTTCAAATTGCGCAGATTATCAATAAAAAGTAATATAATTATAATGCAAGACTTACTTCAATTGGGTTGGCGAATGCGCTGGCCAGGAGGGCTGCTGCTGAAAGCAGCGTGAGCGCTCGCCTGCACGCCCTTCTGCTAAGATTGACTCCATGCTTAAGTGACGTCATGATTTCACCTCATACGTCCCCGCTAATGCGTGCACATTTATTTAAAAAAACAAAATAATGTCACTTGTCTCATATTCTGCAGTTTATTAAGAAACACTTGAGGTTCCACTACTGAAGGTTGCAAACGCACTGAGTAAGGAAAGAGAGGTTTATCATTAAAAATCACATTCATAAACCGATTCTAATGCTACATTCGCGATGCTGATAATTCATATGTGCCTAGCCTAACCTTATCGCATACATTGCACCTTAGTTATGTTTTGACAAATAGAAGCGGAAGAGGTTAGTTGTATGTTACTTTATGAACGATTAATTTGTTAAAATATAAATATGATCTAAGCTGTGCCGAGCTATTTTTTAAAAACCGTTTCTTAGAATACATATTTTATGCATATTTATCTCTTTTTATACATTTGGAACTCACAATAAAATTTTATATCAAATATTGAAATATTAGTATATACAATACACTTATTTTAAAGTAAAACATTTTAGCAAGTGATTATTATTACATTTAGACAAAAATTGAGAGTACAATTTCTAGGATGCGTCACTATTTTTTTTATGCGAAAAGTTGCCAAACGAGCAGGCGGGTCACCTGGTGTTAAGTGAATACCGCCGCCCATGGACATCTGCTACACCCGAGGGTTCCAGATGCGTTGACAATCTTTTGAAAATTGGACTCCGGCTATCTCACTCACCAGACGAAACGCGAAAGTATTTGTCATACTTCCACTTTACGCTGGTTCTGTGAGGTCGTGGTACTTACCCGGACGGGCCTGCCCATTCGTGCAACAGCTGAATTTGCTTCGTGGCCCTACCACTATAAACTATTACGCACATTTTGTTACATGAGACGAAGACAGAAACAAGGAGGGTTAATTTTGTCTCCTTTTCCATTGCACGCATTTAGTTTTGTAATTCTAATACTAAAATTGTGTTTAATGAAAAACCCTAGGCCGTAAAATCGAGGCCGAAAGAGTACATTATTTGGGTATTAGAGCTAATCTATTTACGTCAAGTGAAAGAAGCCGACGAAATGGCGCCAGACGCTCTATCCTAAAGAATGTTAACATACATAAAATCCTGCTCCAGAAGCATTTACGCAACATTAAATATCCTCAGAAAAAGAAGCTGATTTATATGTACTAATAACGCGTTATATTAACGTTTTGTATATATTATTTGTTACGCAATTCAAAGTTGGCCTAGAATGAAAAATTATTAGCTATGATTACAATATAGAAAATACATAATTCATCCATACTGATAATGATTAAATGAAATAAGGTAAAAATAAAGTAGCGTCAGCAGGTATGTGAAATATATTTTTTATTAATAATATTGTATAGTAAGTATTTGATATTGTGTGTGTAGTGTATAATAAGTATTTGATCTTACAAGGCATATAGGCCTGTGATACAATATCAAATACTTTGACTTATTGTCCACATTAATCGGGTATTTCGTTAACTTATGTCTGAAACATTAGATCTTAACTGTTCAATTTGATTTGACAAATAAAGTAATCAAGTTAAAAATAAATACAAAAATAAACTCAAAAGTTTTTTGGGCACCTTTAAGTAAAATAATAACCTGTGAAATACCCTTGAAGTAAAATAATTTTATTTAAAACTTACTTTGTTTTAGCTCCTTTACATTATAGCCCACCCGGCTTTGCATGGGTGCAATAAAAGATAAAAGATGGTTACTGTGGGTTATCCTTAGGAGATAAACATATACCTACCTATATAAAAACATAGGTTTAGCCAGCGTTTGCAATAGCAACGCACAAAATAATGTTTTTTACCTACTTTACCTTTACGACATCAAGTTCCAAATCTTTGAATTTTTAGGCTTTTCTCTAGAATATACATGTATGCCACTTATAAACCTTCCACTTACATCACTCACTCTATTTATTGCCCATAACCGCATTAAAATTCGTTGCGTACCTACTAAGCGTTCAAACATCAGCATCGAATTTTTTATACTATGTAAAGATTATTATTGAGCAGTGTTACAACCATCGGCGTCATAATTAAACACAAGAACTTTATTGAAAAGTCGAGAAATTTATATAAAATAAGACCGGTCAATTTCTTGATGTTTATATTAAAAGTTCAATCAGTGCTAGTTTTTTTACGTTAATAAGAGCTTGGAACAAGGCAACATTGAATATGGAAATTTTAACTTTGACCTATGTAAATCCCACAAGGTTATATTTACAAAGTGGATTTTGGGGCGGCTTTCATTTTTCTCTGCGTTTGCCGACACGAGGCAGGAGTAGACGACAGGGCAGAAAACGACCGTCAGTAGAAAGTAGAAACGTAGCGGAGCGATAAATTCGTGCGGATTGCGCGAGGCAGCGAAACTACAGGCGCGGCAACTCGGTCAAGGAAATGTAGAAAACGTTATGAGAAAGGTTGGATGACTCGATGGCGCAGTTGCTAGGCCATTGGCTTTAGTACAAGTCGTGGATTCGATTAACTCACGGGACATTTATTTGTGTAACCCGCGTATTGTTCCGGATCTGGGTGTTTGTTCCCGAGGGTTTACATCAGGCAGCCGGTCGTCATAAAACTAGCCATCACTATTAACAACATGATTCAAATGTCGTGCCGACCCCACCTAGCTAGGCTAAGAGCAGGCGACATGCATATTATAGTGGAGAAAAGTAATTCAATAGTCGAATAATTCAATAATTATTCAATTCGATAATTCAATAATAATTCAATTCGAGTAATTCAATATCTACATTTATCCCCCGTGCGAACACGGGGCGCGTCGCTAGTTGTTTATAAAAGCTTAATGTAAGCTCTGTTTACTATATGTAACTGATAAATACTAAAGAATATTACAATCTTTTACCGTTTTAATTTAAAATAAAGGATTTATAAAAATCGCATAAAGTATCGGTTAAGTATAACATCAATATAAATACAATTACTCTAGAATTATTTTTAAGTTGGGAATATACCCCACAGTCAGGTTTAAACCGACAATTAAGTTTAAAAGAAATTGTTATTCAGCGTTCTTCATAAAGCAACATTTGAGGTTGTGTCCTTAAAGAAAAAGCGAGTCTGCATTGCGGCTTATTTAACTTTTCATTCGGATGACATCTTGAAGTTAGCTAGTATAAATTTGAATAAACTATAATATACCTTCATAGTAAATTATTTTTTATGAGTGATTGATTGAACAGAAGATTAATAATATAAATAAAATTACTTATTGCTATAATTTACTACCGTCTATTCCAACGAACAAATACTACAAGGATGTACTTCTGCCAACTATTCCTAGCACCATTTGAACTTAACCTTACATGACGTGCGAATAATTTATTTCGTTTGCGTTCAGGGACTTTATAGACAACATGCACGACACGTACGATAGCAAAGTTGAAAAATCGAAAGTTTATACATATGAAAGTTTTATACACCTACTATTATATTAAAACAAACAAAAAATAAACATTCAATATTTTTTACTGTTATATGAAGTACCCTCAACTTTATAATACTCCTGAAAATACAATAAATACTCCTGAAAATACATAGATCGCCCTTAACTGTAATAACATTCAAAGTTATATTCTAATGTTACTATAAAGTTGAGAACAAAGCAGACTAACGCTTTAATGCTTGAACTTTTACTTTTTAACGGCTAATAAGTCTTGGGCCATAGGTATTTTTTGAGATATATCTATTATAAAATTAAGTTTCGTGCAAATTAATTTTTTACACAGCAATAACAACGAACAGAATATCAGAATCATTCATCTCTTTTCAAAATCAAGTAAAGTGATCTTATTCATTTTACAAGTGCCAAGGTCACCTTTATTATGTATCTATATTGACTAGTGAAGTTTTATGCAAAATGTTGCTTCATTTAAATTATCTATAATCGTTTAGATATATATATTTTAGAAAATAATATGTTCTTCTATCGCTAGTAATTTCTTATTTTTATCTCTATGAACGTCAGTTATATTAAATTATTTTCATAACGTCGCCTTTGACCGCGCGCCATTTAATATTAAAAAACATTCATAATCCATCTTTTTTTGCAAAAATCTTGTTGCTATAAATATGTAAATAGTAGAATGTCGAAATATAATGGTTAATGTTTGTTTTTTCATTATTAATTATAAATGAACAAAATTATTGGCTATTTTTAACCAGAATAAAATTAAAATACTGCTACGCGGTTTTACACAAACATTGATATGTTTATGCCTTTTGAGTAATTTAAGGTGTTAAAACGCGAATTTTTTTTATGTGAAAAGTTGCCAAACGAGTTGACGGTTCACGGTAAGTGAATACCACCGCCCATGTACATCTCCTACACCCGAGGGTTACAGAGGCGTCGACAACCTTTTGAAAATTGGGCTCCGGCTACCTCACTCACCAGACGAAACGCGAAAGTATTTGTCATACTTCCACTTAACGCTGGTCTTCTGTCAGGTCGTGGTACTTACCCGGACGGGCCTGACCATTCGTGCAACAGCCGAGGCTTCTGCGTGGCCCTACCACCGTGGGGGGACAAGAGCTCACTATGTCAGAGAGAGAGTCACACCGACTAAAACCCACCAAGTGTTCCACCTAGGTCGCATATAAGGACTAAATAAGAGGGATCGCCATATTTCCAACACCCTGCCAGCGATGGCCGTCTCAGCAGCCCTACAGGGAGCAATCCCCTCTCCTCCAGGTAAGGTGTGCTGGAACATAAAACACGTCAACTCGGAGCCTCTTTCGTATGGGCAACCAACTCCCCCGAAACTACTGCCCAGGAGCCACGGGAGAGCCATTGTTAACAAGCAGCAAGTCTCCAGGCCCCCAGCAGTGTATCTGAAACCCTGGGTGTTGCACATTTCAATAATAAATAGTTATCACTTCACATTAGGCAAACCGTTAGCTCGCTTGTCAACGTTTAAAATAAAAAATATAAAGTTGCCATATATATAATATCGATCGCAAAAAAATCAAAAAAAAAAGTATTAAATTGAAAGTAAGCTGTTTAATTTTCTAACAACGACAGCTATAATTTCATAGAACTTATCAAGTCCATACAAGGACTTGATAAGTACATATGTACTAAGTAAGCGATCAAAAGTTATAGTATTT